TGTGGAGTCTCCTTCTCTGGAGATACTCGAACCCCGCCTGGACAAGGTCCTGTGCAGCCTGCTCTGGGTGACCCTGCTTCGGCAGGAGGGTTGGACTAGATGACCCACAGAGGTCCCTTCCAACCCCTACTATTCTGTGATTCTGTGATTCTGTGCTGTGCCTCTGGGCAGGGGTGGGGGGGAACAGCTAGTGCGTTGCTCCCACTTTCTCTGACGTGCTTCCATTACCAGCACGCTGCAGTGTCTCGGCTAACACTGTGTCCTCCCCTTGGGATGGCAGAAGAGGAGATTGGGTTAAGCAAATATTACCCTGTTAGTTTATAGGCCACGTGCTTGCTGTTTGGTACGCCGTGGAGAGGCAAGGCTTGCCTGCCCCTCTAACCTCTGTGTGATACAACAGCAGCGTTCCTCACGCTTAAGATAAAGAGCCCAGCAGTGAAAAGCACGCGTGGGCTCTTAATGTAAGCTCTGGAAGGTCTCGGTGAATTCAAATCGGTGATCTGAGGGGCTGGGAAGATGCATTACCTGCCAGAGAACCATCAGTCACAGCAATATGGTTTTTAACTGTCAGGCTTTCCCTGGGGTATCAAGATCTTTACGCTTCGTGGCACTGTGAGATCCTTGCACGGAATGCAGCAGCTAAAGCACAAAATGGGATAGAAACCAGATTTCTTGTCGTGCTTCTGACGTTACTTCCCCTGAGCCTTCCACACATCCGTTTAGCCAAGCCGTGCCGAATTAGGTTCCTAGGGGCCTCCTTGGAAGCTGTGCTAGCCCAGAGCGTTCTCCTTTGGGCTGGAGAAGTGGTTCGAGGTCTTTGGACTAGAGCAGTCCTCACCTCTCTAAACCAGCAGGCAGAACTCCTCACGTGCCCTTACGGCTGGGTTACTGGCGAGGCTGCTGCTGACGGCCCGGGCTGTGGAAACACGTTTGTGCCCCAGCCCTCCTTGAGAACGCTGTTAGCACAGGTGGGGTGACAGAGCCGGTGTGGGCACGGCTGTCTGTGTTTCTGCTCATTCGCAGCGAGGTCAAGTGCCACCTTTGACCGTCTGTCCCTCCCGGTAGGGTGTTTGGAGCCGGGTACCCCGGCCTGCCCACGATGACCGTGGATGACTGGTACGAGCAGCGCAGAAGGCAAGGAGTCGCGTCCGGTCCGAGCGCACCAGGTACAGAGTGGCAGAGCAAAGGCTGGGACAGAGACCTGGGGAGGGCGAAGGGGAAGGGGATCGGGGTGTCAGGCACCCCCTGACTGGGGAAGAGCAAGAGCTGCCTTTGCTGGCCCGTGAGGACAGCGGGGCTGCGAGGCTGCTCTTTGGCCGTGCCGGCCTTCCCTCCGGACCGGCTGCTGGCTGGAGAGCCTGACCCCGCTGTCTGACTGCTCCTCGCTCCCGTTCTTGACCTTCAGCAGGTATAACCGATGAAGAGTCCCAGAAGCAGCAGCAGGAGAAAAAAGAGGAGGAGGACAACGAGGAAGCTCTTCAGAAAGCTCGGGACTGGGATGACTGGAAAGATACACACCCAAGGGGCTACGGCAACCGGCAGAACATGGGCTGATGCTCTCGCCGCAGGGAGCAGGGCCTGGAGGTGCTGTAAGAACTGCCTGTGTCCTGGCGATGAGGGAGTAAATGCAGTGTACATATGCAGAAGGAGCCATGGCTGCCCTGGGGACACCGGAGTGAGCGTGGCAGCTTGGTGTACCCGAAATGTCGGACTGAGCGAACTGGTGACGTGCGGTGACAGCACAGAGCTCCTGGCCGGTGGGGCTCTCTCCCAGGGGTCCGGCTGCCTCCGCTCTCCCGGGTGGAGGGAGCCCTTGAAAGAAAAGAACGTGAACTCGGAAACTGCGCTTTGTATTGTGGGTGGATGTATTTATTTTTTTTCCTCTATATTTTAAGCAAAATAAAACCTCGTGTGCCGCCTAGTTCTTGCTGTGAAAATCCCTGGGCTCCTCCAGAGCAGGTCCG